GCAGCCCCCGCAGCCCACCCGGGTCCGCAGCCCCCGCAGCCCACCCGGGTCCGCAGCCCACCCAGCCCACCCGTGCCCGCCCCTCGCTGCCGCCGTCTGACCGCCAATGCCTGCCCACCGCGGGATGCGCTGCTCGCACACACAAGGTGGGGGATTCTGCTTTGTTTGCGCACACCGAAGGACAAGTCTGGGCAGCTGAGGTGTTTTAAGAGCCCTTTTAAATTACATATTTGCAAGAACTCTCCAGCTTGTTCTGCAACTCTGACAGGAGTTGATCCTACAGCTCCCACCACAAGAGTCAGCAATCACTGCTACTAATTGCGTTAGAGGCACTGCTCATGTTCTTAACCATATCCTCATGATTCTTGATTTTTGTTCTACGTATCCTCATTTCCACAGTCCCGTTGCACGGGGCCCGACATCCAAGCTTAGTTGTAATCTCCGAAAAATACATAAGCATATCGTTTTCATCCCCCATCGAGAGCAGTTTAGTATTTTAATCGTGTTATGAAAAAGCATCAAGGCAGAAAGAGGTATCTTCCTTAGTGCTGCTCAGAGTGGCTTTGGTACCTCTTCTGTTAAAGTTAGGGCACAGTCACTGACACACAAAAACCACCAAGGAAAGAATACTCCAAATACTCTTCGCCAAACACACTTGAACCTCCTGCCATTTCTTACAGCCCAGTCCACCCCCGCCTTAAGGAAACATCCCCAGGCTCCAGGAACACAGGATCTGTTCACCCAGTGCCCACACATGTTCTCCAGGTCCAGTGCAGTATTGCAGCCTTGCTGACTGCCCTTCCACCCCTGCAATTTTGTTGACATTTTTGTATTTCACGTCCTGTAAAGTGAGGTGATACCCACATGCCATCGCTGATATTGGCTGATACAAAGTTCATAGAAAGCCTAACTCATAAAACGTAGAGGTGAATTTTACCACAATTTACAATATGGAAGTGGATATATTCAAGTCATGTTTTAAAATGACCTTACAAATCAAAGACAAGTGTTTTGTTTTGTTTTTTTCCCTTGACATCAACATTTCTTGTGGCTTAATTCCCAGACTAATCTTTAGATCCACTTGCTTGTGAAGACAGAGCTGTTTGGTAATTTCCCATCAGTAAGAGGCTAGCAAGCTTATCTTTATTGATAGACCAAGATGAAAGGTAATGGTGCCTGTGGTGATAAAGAGAAGGGCAAGAAAAGGAGATGTGAAGAGAAACAAGATCAGGTACGTCTTGCGTAAGTCATTGCCTTTATTGTGCAGTAAAAAGTAGCTCAGTCAATACATACACACAAGTTTACCACTGCAACTATACAGCATTCCCTACAATTTCGTAGTAATAACACACCCACTTATTTAACATACCCAGCTTTCCCCAATATGTGACAGAGAAATATTTCACTTCATTCAATTTAGAGACTTTAATCAAGATTTCCTTCAGTCTTCAACCCCAACCTTGGAAACACATGTATTCAGCTATGAGACCAGTCCTGCTGTACACGAGGAATTGAACATTTTCGTATGTGTCTACTTTTGCAAAGCAGTTCTTTCATCTCTGCTGCACTAAAGTATCTACCAATTTAATAACTAACACCCATTAACAAGATCGGTTGGCTGAATTTACCAAAGAAGCAGCAAAGACTCATTCACGTGTGACACAGGAGGATACAAACAACAAGTCAAATATAAACGTGCTTCTAGGCAAACTTGCAAACTTTGACAAAGTGGGGTAAACTGAATAGTGAAATGAGGGTACTGATGCAACAAAAGAGCTGCAGGAATATTGTGGGAAGTGACACCACACTTGGGGAACACCAACGACCCATGTGACAGTCACACCAGGTACAATTTATAAAGGACAGACAAAAATTATGACATCGTTAAAGACGTGGTGTTATATGACAGTTTATTGGCTAGTTAGTCAACTATCGATAATACAGAATACTTATGAATTGAAACATGTATCATGTATCATGTATCATGGATCATGTATTGGAAGAACACAGGACCAAAAAAAAGCACAAAAAAGGGGGACTTTTGTTACCCCCACATAGATGCATTAAATGTCATATTAAGGTGTGATATCGAGGTTAAACGTTTAGATGCTACAAACAACCATTCTGCCTCGTAGTAGCAGTAGTCCCTTGACACTCACTGATCACAGTTGAACCAGGATACTGGATTACGTGGACCTTTAGTCTGAGCCAGTTTATTACTCACTGCCACATGGCAGAGCTGTTCTGAAAAAAAAAACCCTGTACATTTTTACTCAGAAAACCGGACTTCACACGTACCAAGCCACGCCACGGCAAAGTCAGCTGCCAAAAGCGATTTAAAGAAGTAAGTTCCAGCAAAACTTGTACAAACCGGATCACGTGGCTGAGGCACAGAGATCCCCAGAACCCTCAGCTACCCCCGGGCCGCTCCCATTCCCAGAGCGCCCATCACGCCCACCGCCCGCCGGGCGCGGCGCATGCGCAGTGCTTGTCTTCCCCCTCCCGGCA